AGTACAAAAATGAAAGGTGTCGCCATCCCAATTGGCGATTAAGAGGTGTCATTGTTTGCAGGCTAGGCTCAGGCTACATGACAGTCTTTGGGATGCCATGCCTAAATGCATGTAACCTTATTGGAGGTGATGGGAGGAGACTTACAAGATACAATGTAGGTGCAGAGTAGGCGCAGGCTAGGTGGCAGCCTAGGGGGTTACATATCTGCATGCATGTATCACGATTGGACAGTAAGGGAGGCGCCATTGGACTTGGCGAAAGAGTACAAAAATGAAAGGTGTCGCCATCCCAATTGGAGAATAAGAGGTGTCATTGGTTGCAAGCTAGGCTCAGGCTACGTGACAGCCTTTGGGATGTCATGCCTGAATGCATGTAACCCTATTGGAGGTGATGGGAGGAGACTTACAAGATACAATGTAGGTGTAGGCTAGGTGGAAGCCTAAGGGATTACATATCTGCATGTATGTATCACGATTGGGCAGTAAGGGAGGCGCCATTGGACTTGGCGAAAGAGTACAAAAATGAAAGGTTTCGCCATCCCAATTGGCGAATAAGAGGTGTCATTGGTTGCAGGCTAGACTCAGGTTACGTGTCAGCCTTTGGGATGCCATGCCTGAATGCATGTAACTCTATTGGAGGTGATGGGAGGAGACTTACAAGATACAGTGTAGGTGTAGAGTAGGCGCAGGCTAGGTGGTAGCCTAGGGGGTTACATATCTTCATGCATGTATCACGATTGGATAGTAAGGGAGGCGCCATTGGACTTGGCGAAAGAGTACAAAAATGAAAGGTGTCGCCATCCCAATTGGCGAATAAGAGGTGTCATTGGTTGCAAGCTAGGCTCAGGCTACGTGACAGCCTTTGGGATGCCATGCCTGAATGCATGTAACCCTATAGGAGGTGATGGGAGGAGACTTACAAGATACAGTGTAGGTGCAGAGTAGGCGCAGGCTAGGGGGTTACATATCTGCATGCCTGTATCACGATTAGACAGTAAGGGAGGTGCCATTGGACTTGGCGAAAGAATACAAAAATGAAAGGTGTCGCCATCCCAATTGGCGAATAAGAGGTGTCATTGGTTGCAGGCTAGGCTCAGGCTACGTGAAAGCTTTTAGGATGCCATGCCTGAATGCATGTAACCCTATTGGAGGTGATCAGAGGAGACTTACAAGATACAGTGTGGCTGCAGAGTAGGCGCAAGCTAGGTGGCAGCCTAGGGGTTACATATCTGCATGCATGTATCACGATTGGACAGTAAGGGAGGCGCCATTGGACTTGGAGAAATAGTACAAAAATGAAAGGTGTTGCCATCCCAATTGGCGAATAAGAGGTGTCATTGGTTGCAGGCTAGGCTCAGGCTACGTGACAGCCTTTGGGATGCCATGCCTGAATGCATGTAACCCTATTGGAGGTGATGGGAGGAGACTTACAAGATACAGTGTAGGTGCAGAGTAGGTGCAAGCTAGGTGGCAGCCTAGGGGGTTACATATCTACATGCATGTATCACGATTGGGCAGTAAGGGAGGCGCCATTTGACTTGGCGAAAGAGTACAAAAATGAAAGGTGTCGCCATCCCAATTGGAGAATAAGAGGTGTCATTGGTTGCAGGCTAAGCTCAGGCTACGTGACAGCCTTTGGGATGCCATGCCTGAATGCATGTAACTCTATTGGCGGTGATGGGAGGAGACTTACAAGATACAATGTAGTTGCAGAGTAGGCGCAGGCTAGGTGGCAGCCTAGGGGGTTACATATCTGCATGCATGTATCAGGATTGGACAGTAAGGGAGGCTCCATTGAACTTGGCGAAAGAGTACAAAAATGAAAGGTGTCGCCATCCCAATTGGAGATTAAGAGGTGTCATTGGTTGCAGGCTAGGCTCAGGCTACGTGATAGTCTTTGGGATGCCATGCCTAAATGCATGTAACCCTATTGGAGGTGATGGGAGGAGACTTACAAGATACAGTGTAGGTGTAGAGTAGGCGCAGGCTAGGTGGTAGCCTAGGGGGTTACATATCTTCATGCATGTATCACGATTGGATAGTAAGGGAGGCGCCATTGGACTTGGCGAAAGAGTACAAAAATGAAAGGTGTCGCCATCCCAATTGGCGAATAAGAGGTGTCATTGGTTGCAAGCTAGGCTCAGGCTACGTGACAGCCTTTGGGATGCCATGCCTGAATGCATGTAACCCTATAGGAGGTGATGGGAGGAGACTTACAAGATACAGTGTAGGTGCAGAGTAGGCGCAGGCTAGGGGGTTACATATCTGCATGCCTGTATCACGATTAGACAGTAAGGGAGGTGCCATTGGACTTGGCGAAAGAGTACAAAAATGAAAGGTGTCGCCATCCCAATTGGCGAATAAGAGGTGTCATTGGTTGCAGGCTAGGCTCAGGCTACGTGAAAGCTTTTAGGATGCCATGCCTGAATGCATGTAACCCTATTGGAGGTGATGGGAGGAGACTTACAAGATACAGTGTAGGTGCAGAGTAGGTGCAGGCTAGGTGGCAGCCTAGGGGGTTACATATATGCATGCATGTATCACGATTGGGCAGTAAGGGAGGCGCCATTTGACTTGGCGAAAGAGTACAAAAATGAAAGGTGTCGCCATCCCAATTGGCAAATAAGAGGGGTCATTGGTTGCAGGCTAAGCTCAGGCTACGTGACAGCCATTGGGATGCCATGCATGTAACACTATTGGCAGCCTTGGGGGTTACATCCTTACTTAATTGAAATTCAGTATGAGATTTTTAGTCTTACGTTTATCATAACATTGATTCACTTAATCTGTCAAATCTTCCAACCTTCAAACGTTCTTACAATCAAAGCTTCAAAGCTTCAAACAATCAAACATACAAACCTTCGAATAACTCATTAACTTCAAACATTCCAACCTTCAAACCTTACAACATTCAAACCTTCATACAATCAATAAACTTCAAACATACAAACCTTCGAATAACTCATAAAATTCAAACATTCCAACCTTCAAACCTTCCAACATTCAAACGTTCATACAATCAATAAACTTCAAACATTCCAACCTTCGAATAACTCATAAAATTCAAACATTCCAACCTTCAATCCTTCAAACAACCCTACGCAATGGCCTCTACACCACAATATGTCGTCAAAACACATTTCAACGGTGAGACATACATTTGTCCCACCGCTGGGTTTTTGTTTAGAGACACAAACAACATCTGATTTCTCTTAAACGGGAAAGCCAATTTCTCGTACTTCAAAAAACGATTGGAGGCCAAACTTGGACGAGGCCCGGTGACCCAGATATTTTATCAGAATCCAGTTTTTTTTGGAAACAACCAAATAATTTTTTATAAGGTTGAAGTTCAAGATGACGAGGATCTCCAGAATATGTTTTCCAGCCATGTGTATTCTGGGTACGACTCTATTGAGTTGTACATTATGCTGCGAGAGCCTCAGGTGACACAAGTGGTTGATCCTTTAGAGAATGAACAAGCTGAGGTAGATGCAGTTGATGAAGAAGAAGAAGATGACGAGTTAGAGTTTGATGAAATGGTGAATGATGATTCCGACGATGATGGCATACCTAGTATTCCTACAAACGAAATCTACACACCACCTCCGCACATGACAAACTTCAACATGGGAGGAGATGAACCTTCTACTGACTTATTTTTCAATCCGTATATGCATTCAGATGAAAATTTAAAAGAGAAGGACAAGTTTTGTAATAGAGAGGAATGCATCAGAGCCATAAAAAAATTCCACATGCTCAACTTGGTTGATTTTTGGTGGACCGTGTCAACCCGGAAAGGTACAAGATCAAGTGTGTCCACCCTAACTGTATGTTCAAGCTGACTGCATCATACAGATTAAGAGGTGACTGCTGGGACATAGGTTCCATGACTACCCACACTTGTGTAAGTTCTACCCAATCACAGGACCACCGAAAACTTAACTACGATCTCATATGTCAAGAAATCCTACCCCTGGTCAGCAACGACCATCTTTGAAGGTGAAAACAATCATCTCCCACATCACCACGGTTTTTAACTACACTCCGTCTTACCGTAAGTCGTGGTTAGCAAAGACTAAGGCGATTGAAAAGGTGTACGGAAACTAGGAGGAGTCATACCAAGAACTTCCTCGCTACCTGAATGCACTCAAGACGTATTCTCCGGGTACTGTTTACATTCTGGAAATAGTGCCAGCATACGTCCAAGATGGTAGTCAACTAAACGGCAATGGAATATTCAGTCGAGTGTTTTGGGCATTTCAACCTTGCATCACAGGATTTGCATCATGAAACCAATTATACAAATTGATGGGACTTGGTTGTATGGGAAGTACAAAGGCACGCTACTGATGGCAGTTGCAAAAGATGGCAACAACAACATTTTCCCCATTGCCTTTGCCCTTGTCGAGGGGGAGACCGGTGGTGCTTGGAGCTTTTTTCTGAAAAATCTACGAACACACGTGGCTCCTCAACCAGATCTCTGTTTGATCTCGGACAGACATGCCTCCATTGAAAGTGCCTACAATAATCCTGCAAACGGTTGGCATGACCCTTCTTCTACGCATGTCTATTGCGTTAGGCATATCGTCCAAAATTTAACGAGGGAGATCAAGGACAAAAAATTAAGGAAAGCGGTTATGAATGCGGGATATGCATTGACACAACCCACATTCAAATATTACTGCAACGAGATCCGTTTGTCAAATCCGGAAGCCGGTAGGTGGATCGACAATATTCCGGTGGAAAAATGGACTAGGTCATACGACAATGGCCAAAGATGGGGGCACATGACAACAAATCTTATTGAATCAATGAATGGGGTATTCAAAGGCATACGAAACCTCTCGATCACTGCTTTGGTAAAATCTACGTATTTTAGGATGGCTGCGTTATTTTCCAAAAGAGGTGAAATGTGGAATACAGTGTTGCAATCTGGATAACTATGGAGTGAAAGCTGCATGAAATACATTAAGGCAGAAAGTGCCAAAGCCAACACTCATATGGTTATACGGTTTGACCGACACAGCCACAACTTCATTGTGAAAGAGACAATCGACCAGAACGAAGGCCTGCCAAGACAAGAATATAGGGTCATGCTACCTTCTCGTTGGTGCGATTGTGGCAGGTTTCAAGCATTTCGTATGCCTTGCTCTCATGTCATTGCCGCTTGTGCTCATACCCATCAAGACGCGCTGCAACTTCTGTCAAACATTTACAAATCTGAAACGTTGCTCAATGTTTACAACAACAACTTTCCTTTGGTAGCAAAACCAGATTATTGGCCTGCATACGACGGCGAAATAGTGTGGCACAATGACCAAATGCGAAGGAACAAGAAGGGTCGTCCCAAAAGTAAGCGCATCCCAACAGAAATGGACGATCTTGACAAGTTGGAAAGAAAGTGTGGTTTATGCCGTCAGGTCGGACACAATCGTAAAAATTGTCCGAATCGGGCGTCTGCCTCGACCACATAAAAATTGTAATATATAAAATCTTTCCTTAATTATGTTGTAAACATTAGGCTTTTCCGTTAACAGATTTTGCTACAATAAATATTACGCGTACAAGAAAAATTAACGATATTCCGTCTACGAAATTACAACTGTTAACACAATTTCATCTGACCCATGCATCATCAACATTACATCGCTGTCTGTTTTGACTTCCTCCAACCATACATTAGGTCTTCTTGTCGCATGTGAGGTTGTTGTTCGTTTTTGCTGGATCCTTCGAATTTTCCCCCCCTCCGCAATGTCTCCATCTAGCCATCACATCAACTCCCGCTTCAAACACTCCATGGAGTGAATGTGCCAGAATTTCATTTTCATCGCAGGTTTCGTGGAGGAGAAGATAACGTAACCATCTCTGCTAAAAATCATGGGTGACGTCATGACGCAAATAACAGAGTAAAAAATAAAAATACAGTGCGAGAAAATGTGCGAAATTTCGGAGAAACGGACGAATTATTTATAAAACAGCATTTTGCCCTAGGAGCCAAGTGAGATGGCGCCTCCTCTCACTTTTAAGGAGCATGTGCCATCTCACTTGGCTAAAAGTGAAGGGAGGCGCCAAGTGAGATGGCGCCTAGGGCAAATCTAGGGGTGGAGGCGCCAAGTGAGATGGCTCCTCCTTTGGGGAGTCATCCGAAACATGGTTATTTGCGTAATTTTTTCCGAAACGCGATTTTTTTACAATAACCAAGTATTAAAATAATATTTCGCAAATAACCGCGTTTCGGAAAAAATTACGCAAATAAACATGTTTCAGATGACTCCCCAAAGGAGGAGCCATCTGAATTGGTGCATCCACCCCTACTTTTGCCCTAGGTGCCATCTCACTTGGCGCCTCCCTTCACTTTTAGCCAAGTGAGATGGCGCATGCTCCTTAAAAGTGAGAGGAGGCGCCATCTCACTTGGCTCCTAGGGCAAAACTAGGGCAAAATGCTGTTTTATAAATAATTCGTCCGTTTCTCTGAAATTTTGCACACTTTCTCGCACTGATTTTTTATTTTTTACTATGTTATTTGCGTCATGACGTCAACCATGATTTTTAGCAGAGATGGTTATGTTATCTTCTCCGCCACGAAACCTGCGATGAAAATGAAATTCTGGCACATTCACTCCATGGAGCGTTTGAAGCGGGAGTTGATGCGATGGCTAGATGGAGACATTGCGGAGGGGGGGGGGGGGGGAATTCGAAGGATCCAGCGAAAACGAACAACAACCTCACATGCGACAGAAAGACCTAATGTATGGTTGGAGGAAGTCAAAACAGACAGCGATGTAATGTTGATGATGCATGGGTCAGATGAAATTGTGTTAACAGTTGTAATTTCGTAGACGGAATATCGTGTATTTTTCTTGTACGCGCAATATTTATTGTAGCAAAATCTGTTAACAGAAAACCCTAATGTTTACAACAAAATTAAGGAAAGAATTTATGTATTACAATTTTTATATGGTCGAGGCAGACGCCCGATTCGAACAATTTTTGCGGTTGTGTCCGACTTGACGGTATAAACCACACTTTCTTTCCAACTTGTCAAGATCGTCCATTTCTGTTGTGATGCGCTTACTTTTGGGACGACCCTTCTTGTTCCTTCGCATTTGGTCCTTGTGCCACACTATTTCGCCGTCGTATGCAGGCCAATAATCTGGTTTTACTACCAAAGGAAAGTTGTTGTTGTAAACGTTGAGCAACATTTCAGATTTGTAAATTTTTGACAGAAGTTGCAGCGCGTCTTGATGGGTATGAGAACAAGCGGCAATGACATGAGAGCAAGGCATACGAAATGCTTGAAACCTGCCACAATCGCACCAACGAGAAGGTAGCATGACCCTATATTCTTTTCTTGGTAGGCCTTTGTTGTGGTCGATTTTCTCTTTCACAATGAAGTTGTGGTTGTGTCGGTCAAACCGTATAACCATATGAGTGTTGGCTTTAGCACTTTCTGCCTTAATGTATTTCATGCAGCTTTCACTCCATAGTTGTCCAGATTGCAACACCACATTCCATATTTCACCTCTTTTGGCAAATAACGCAGCCATCCTAAAATACGTAGATTTTACCAAGGTAGTGATCAGGAGGTTTCGTATGCCTTTGAATACCCCATTCATTGATTCAATAAGATTCGTTGTCATGTGCCCCCATCTTTGGCCATTGTCGTATGACCTAGTCCATTTTTCCACCGGAATATTGTTGATCCACCTATCGGCTTCCGAATTTGACAAACGGATCTCGTTGCGGTAATATTTGAATGTGGGTTGTGTCAATGCATATCCCGCATTCATAACTGCTTTCCTTAGTGTTTTGTCCTTGATCTCCCTCGTGAAATTCTGGACGATATGCCTAACGCAATAGACATGCGTAGAAGGAGGGTCATGCCAACCGTTTGCAGGATTATTGTAGGCACTTTCAATGGAGGCATGTATGTCCGAGATCAAACAGAGATCTGGTTGAGGAGCCACGTGTGTCCGCAGATTTTTCAGAAAAAAGCTCCAAGCACCACCTGTCTCCCCCTCGACAAGGCAAAAGGCAATGGGGAAAATGTTGTTGTTGCCATCTTGTGCAACTTCCATCAATAGCGTGCCTTTGTACTTCCCATACAACCAAGTCCCATCAATTTGTATAATTGGTTTGCATGATGCAAACCCTGTGATGCATGGTTGAAATTCCCTAAACACTCGACTAAATATTTCGTTTCCGTTTAGTAGACTACCATCTTGGGCGTATGCTGGCACTGTTTCCAGAACGTAAACACTACCCGGAGAATACGTCTTGAGTGCACTCAGGTAGCGGAGAAGTTCTTGGTATGACTCCTCCCAGTTTCCGTACACCCTTTCAATTGCCTTAGTCTTTTCTAACCACGCCTTACAGTAAGACGGAGTGTAGTTAAAAACTATGGTGATGTGGGAGATGATTGTTTTCACCTTCAAAGATGGGTCGTTGCTGACCAGGGGTAGGATTTCTTGACAGATGAGATCGTAGTTAAGTTTTCGGTGGTCCTATGATTGAGTGGAACTTACACAAGTGTGGGTAGTCATGGAACCTATGACCCAACAATCACCTCTTAATTTGTATGATGCGGTCAGCTTGAACATACAGTCAGGGTGGACACACTTGATCTTGTACCTTTCCGGGTTGACACAGTCCACCTTAAAATCAACCGAGTTGAGCATGTGGAATTTTTTTATGGCTCTGATGCATTCCTCTCTATTACGAAACTTGTCCTTCTCTTTTAAATTTTCATTCGACTGCATATACGGATTGAAAAATAAGTCAGTAGAAGGTTCATCTCCGCCCATGTTGAAGTTTGTCATGTGCGGAGGTGGTGTGTAGATTTTGTTTGCAGGAATAATAGTTATGGCATCATCGTCGAAATCATCATTCACCATTTCATCAAACTCTAACTCGTCATCTTCTTCTTCTTCATCAAGTGCATCTACCTCAGCTTGTTCATTCTCCAAAGGATCAACCACTTGTGTCACCTGAGGCTCTCGCAGCATAACGTACAACTCAATAGAGTCGTACCCAGAATACACATGGCTGGAAAACATATTCTGGAGATCCTCGTCATCTTGAACTTCAACCTTATAAAAAATTACTTGGTTGTTTCCAAAAAAAACTGGATTCTGATAAAATATCTGGGTCACCGGGCCTCGTCCAAGTTTGGCCTCCAATCGTTTTTTGAAGTACGAGAAATTGGCTTTCCCGTTTAAGAGAAATCGGATGTTGTCTGTGTCTCTAAACAAAAACCCAGCGGTGGGACAAATGTATGTCTCACCGTTGAAATGTGCTTTGACGACAAATTGTGGTGTAGAGGCCATTGCGTAGGATTGTTTGAAGGTATTAAGGTATGAAGGTTGGAATGTTTGAATTTTATGAGTTATTCGAAGGTTGGAATTTTTGAAGTTTATTGATTGTATGAAGGTTTGAATGTTGTAAGGTTTGAAGGTTGGAATGTTTGAACTTTATGAGTTATTCGAAGGTTTGTATGTTTGAAGGTTTGAAGGTTTGATTGTAAGAACGTTTGAAGGTTGGAAGATTTGACAGATTAAGTGAATCAATGTTATGATAAACGTAAGACTAAAAATTTCAATTAAGTAAGGATGTAACCCCCAAGGCTGCCAATAGTGTTACATGCATGGCATCCCAAAGGCTGTCACGTAGCCCGAGCCTAGCCTGCAACCAAGGACACCTCTTATTCGCCAATTGGGATGGTGACACCATTCATTTTTGTACTCTTTCGCCAAGTCCAATGGCGCCTCCCTTACTGTCCAATCGTGATACATGCATGCAGATATGTAACCCCCTAGGCTGCCACCTAGTCTGCGCCTACTCTGCACCTATACTGTATGTTGTAAGTCTCCTCCCATCACCTCCAATAGGGTTACATGCATTCAGGCATGGCATCCCAAAGGCTGTCACGTAGCCTGAGCCTATCCTGCAACCAAGGACACCTCTTATTCGCCAATTGGGATGGCGACACCATTCATTTTTGTGCTCTTTCGCCAAGTCCAATGGCGCATTTGTAAGTTTCTATTTTGGTTATACATTTTTCATATATCAGATAATGCTTTGTTCATCTTACTTAATCTTACACCTTTTACATTATGAACTCAGGACACCAAAAGATTTAGAATCCGTTCTCACAACTACCTGGCTGCCAACCCATTTATCGTACCATATCTGGAATACGCAGGTTTTGGACATGTGATAAAGATCTCCAACTGCACAATTGATTCGAAGTTCATTCTTGCAATGTTGGAAAGGTGGAGACCAGTGACCCATACATTTCACCTACCAATAGGTGAATGTGTCATCACGCTAGAGGATGTGTACATGCTACTAGGTCTCCCTGTCGACGGTAAGGCCGTGAACGGGTCGGTTCAACAACTCAACTCTCAGTGTGAAGAACTGTTGGGCAGGGATATGGTTGACGGTGGTGGTGCAAGAGGTCAGGGAATACTACTCA